TTGATTGATAAAATAACAAAGAAAAATAAATCTATATTGAATTTGAAGAAATAAGATGTTAAATTTTGTATGTATACTGCAATATTATCAATTTAAAATTTCACTCACTTTTTAATCTTATAAACTCTATAGTCTTAAATTTTGTTATCACTTTGAAAAAGTGAGTCAATTTCCTATATTTCTATACATTATATATAGTGTTAAATTTATTTAACTGTTCATGTTATTTATCTAATATTGTGTACATATAAACACTTACATTTTCTGGCTCAAATACCGTGATGAAAATCAATTTCCATTGCCGATATTTGTTACCTCTATTAGTTGAAATATCCCGAGGTTTATAAAGATACTATTTCAAAGAGGTATTATATAATTGCTTTACTATGAGAGAGCATAGCAGCTAGAAAAGATTTTCTTGTAGAATTGCCGGTGGTTATGTACGGACGCGTTTTGTCAAACACACATATTGAAATAAATCGGCATATTTTTTTTTTTATTTTTTATTACTCATATATTAATGTATATATATAATTATTATATATCCTTTATTTTCTATTTATTTTTATTTAAAAAATTGTAATCTTATAATTAACAAATTTTGATTGATAAAATAACAAAGAAAAATAAATCTATATTGAATTTGAAAAAATAAGATGTTAAAGTTTGTATGTAAACTGCAATATTATCAATTAAAAATTTCACTCACTTTTTAATATTATAAACTCTATATTCTTAAATTTTGTTATCACTTTGAAAAAGTGAATCAATTTCCTATATTCCTATACATTATATATAGTGTTAAATTTATTTAACTGTTCATGTTATTTATCTAATATTGTGTACATATGAACACTTACATTTTCTGGCTCAAATACCGTGATGAAAATCAATTTCCATTGCCGATATTTGTTACCTCTATTAGTTGAAATATCCCGAGGTTTATAAAGATACTATTTCAAAGAGGTATTATATAATTGCTTTACTATGAGAAAACATAGCAGCTAGAAAAGATTTTCTTGCAGAATTGCCGGTGGTTATGTACGGACGCGTTTTGTCGAACACACATATTGAAATAAATCGGCATCGGCACGATAACGAGAGAGAGAGAGGACTGATAATGGCCGCGGGAAATAAAGGCGAACATATCGATCGCGCATCAATTACAACGACGGTTCGAATTATTCGCATGATCGTCCGTGAAATTGCGGAGAAGAAATCCGAGCGGCTAATCCGCTCACACGCGAATGTTCGATTTTGTAATCGAATGTCGGAGTAAAATCAACAGCCGGTTTATACCTCGCCATACGGGTATCATACGGATTAAAAATATGCACGACCAGCCAGCACGCTTCCTGCTGGCAACCCCCGTAAATACTTGACGATAAAATGCATAAACCGGAGAACTATTAGTCTCAATTTGCAACCTTGTGCGCTAGAAGTGGCGAAAAGTTATGCTTGAAATTTTGTAAAAACCTTCGCTAGGGAATAACCAGAGATTTGTAAAAGCTTATACAATCGGTTGCTATAGAGATCGCTATAGTGCGAAACGCCCTCAGCGAAATAAAAGCGCGAAAAAAGCGATTCACGCGAAAGGACCGACATTGTTTCGGACACCAGAGTTTTGTAAAAAGGAATGTTACATGCACGCGTACTAGCGAGAACCGTTTCTGAAAACACCAATGAAAATATATACCTACCGAGGAGAAACAGTTTGTGATTCTCGTCGAAATCTTCGTCCGTTTCGAAATGTTTTACGAATTCATGGTGTCAAAAAGCTCTAATAATGCGTGTGTTGGAAGAATAAATTCCCGTTATTGGCCGTTACCAAGAGATTTTCGCGTGGATTTGAGAAAAATTGCAGGAATCTATCGAACATGTTGATCCTATTTGATACCACGTAGCATTCTTTCAATATCTCTGTTCGGGAAATAGAAAATTTTCACCAAATAAAGGCATATAATCACACAGTACCGTAATCGTTAATGCGTCTGACATACTTTAAAGTCATATAATTTAACAATTCGCTGCGCTTGTGGTCCCTGATTTTTTTAATCCAGGTCGCGAAATATATGCTAGCGAGTTTGCTCTTGCAAAGTCCCGAATAATTCTAGCGTAAAGGAAGATACGACGGCGTTGTATAAAAAAAATATCGAAATGTTCTCGTTTCTACGTACGGAGAAAGAAAAGTTAGAGGGTTTATTGTCCGCTCTTCTCGGTTTCTTTTCGCCCTCCTAAGTCGAAAAGTACAAGTTTAGGGCGTGGCGGGACAATTTCGCTCGTTCCAACTTTGGTACGGTTAAAATCTATTAAATCATCGTACTCTCAGCTCTTCTGTCACCAATTATATTCCTCGCATCACTAAACAATTTTCATCCAACATCGATTCCATATTCGAAATTTATATGGAAAAAAATATTTTTGAAAAATAACTTTTTTTTTAATTATTTTATTATGCTTTGAAAAAAATATATTGAAAAAATATATTGAAATATATTGAAAAAAAAAATATATTGAAATAGTATATGCTTTGAAAAAATATATTGAGATATACGATTTTAATATGTGAAAAATAAGTCAATAGTAGATGTATCTTCTCTCACATAGCATTCCAATAACTAAACGTTTCAATACACGCGATTTCATGAAAATGTATTGAAATATAAACATATATGGTATGTAAGTGTTCAGTGAATAATAAAACCAGATTTATATGTCAGCGAATGAAACGAGTCTGCGTAAATAAATTCCTGGAAGAAATGATTTTTGAAAAACCTACCCACTCGACAACGATGCTTTCACAGAATCGAGCTTGGTCGGAGAGATGAATGTATCAAACTGTATAGAATTTCTATTCATTGACCGAAAGGAGAGAGCTCTGACATCCTACACGAAGATGGCGAGGTAGTACGTTAGACAGAAATGAATGTGTTCGACGAAGAAATTCGACAGAGAGAATATCTCGATACATTTTCGATACAATATAAGAAAAATGAGTATATATTTGCCAGTACATAGAAGCATCCTAATGATAATATCCAATTTGTACGTATTATAAGTAAACGATTAGATAACAAAAGCGAGTAAAGCTTGTCATAATTTGTTTATATAATAAATTAATATAATATATAACAATTTAAATATATAATTTATAATAATAAATTAGTATAATTAATAGAATAAATTTATACAAGCTATTTAATCAATAAAAATACGAATAAAAGATATAATTGTCAAGAAGAGATATATAAGTGGGAAATGTCAGCGTATGACATTTCCCACTTATTAAATATGACATATCTGAAGTATTTAGATAGCGCTTTGCAACCAGAAATATGAATTCTCTTTATTTTCTTATTATTCATCGATCTTGTGATTCGAAGCGAGAGATATTTGCTTTCTCAAGGAGAGGCAAACGTCGAAGCTTTTCATATGCGGTCGACTTGCCCCATTGTAACCCAATTTCGCTAATACGAAGTCAACATCAATACAACCACAATAGCAAATGTTATTGTTCTCTTGTGCATTATTCACAAGTAAGGAAATATTTCATAAAGAAGATATTAAAGAAATATCTGTTTATATAAGAAAATATTTCTTCTTTTACTTTAAATGATGCCATTTAATAAATCCGTTTGTTTCGCAAGATTTTTCATATTTATTTCTTTGTGATGTACAATCTTACAAACAACTATTATTATTAAAAAAATGAGATAAATCGTATCTCGTCAAAAACAAGATGTATTTATATATGAGTGTATATTACGCCACGTGTGCTATTATCAAAATTATATGATGCAGTCAAATATGATGCAGAGATAAACCAATTATAATCAAAAGATATTGATGTAATAGTATATATAAATAACTACTATTTATACAATTAGCCTAACAAACCATTTGTTTGTAAAATTAGGATTATTATGTAGGGGTTCTAATTACATAAATAAAAAATTGGCAATGTTTGATCCTTATAGATATTAAATATAATTCTCCCTAATTCATTATTCAAAAATATATTGCATTACGATGAGGATTGATAAAAGCCTCGATCATAACTGAATATTTGACATCGTGACAATAATATATTTATATTATAAAAATATCTGTCATCGATCAAAATGACTCAATACATTATATAATACGTATATATAAATTTGAATTGCATATATACTATTTTTGTGAACTTGTTCGATTCTTTCCTATGACTTCATCTTTTTCTATTAATAGGCGATAGCATAAAAGACTTTTAAAAAGAACATGTATGTAGAATATGTCTTGCGAGCGCGAATACAACTGTACGGTGTAAAAAAAATCTGGCATCCGTTATTCGAAACACGTTCGCGACTGAACGAATAACGTCACTGTCAGACGACGCTGGTGCATCGCATTTTATGGTCGCAAGACAAGAACGTTGAGTCTGCAAACGCTCGAAAGTGGAGGCAAAGGTACACAGGGCTAACAAAGTTTTCAAAGACAACATCAGGTCTGATATTTAACGAGTTCATTCCACTCGGCTGCCGCGACAAAAACTGCAAACGGAGATCTCTATCTGCTTGCATCGTCCGGATCTCGCTCGCCTGTCCTCTATTCACCAGCCGCAATCTCCTCGGCCAGGAGCGCGCGTACTCTCTGACATTCTGGATAACATAAAGGGAGCTTTCACCCTGTATAACTCCAAAGAACGTTGACTCTAACTAAGTGCAAGAAGAGAATGTTGAACCGCTATTTATACCGCTTTGAAGATCCTGAGAATTTGCGATTCCAATTAATGCAAAGTTTCAATCATATTTTCCGATTGTATTTGACATATTAAGCCATTGATTAAAATAATCTAATATAATTACTAATTAATGTAATAATTTTTGCAATTTTTTTTCTCATTTAAATCCGGGAAATTATATTTTACGTATTTCTCTATAAAATAAAATTGCAAATAAGCGACAAAAAAATAAGTGAACAAATAGAAATATTTTTCTTTTTTTTTTTTTAGGTATTACCTCGGCTTCTGGCGACTGCATTATCAAGGATGTCCGTGGTGGTTTTTCCGGCGGTATTTTCTTCAGCGTGCCGGCGAAAGAGCTGGCAGGTATACCGGCACTCGTCGCTAAAGCACCCTCATGATTCTCGATCTGGCATTGAAGTCGGTGAAACTGGGAGAACGAAGTACGCGACGCGTCGGCGCGATCGAATTGCGGGAGGCACGGTAATGGCATTTGCGACATGTTCGGTATCTGAATGGAATTCGGATCGGAAACGTCGTGTTGTACGCGGGACGTCAGTTTCTCACACACAGACGATTGGCAGGCTTGGAGGGTGGCACTTTGCGGATACACAGTAGTCAGAAGTGTCTGATGAAGGCCGTGCGCTGGTTGATGAGTCGAGCAAGATTTGTCCGATAATTGTTCTTGATGATTTGGAAGAGGACTCGCTTGAACCTGATGTGTATCACTTGTCAAGCTCGGAAGTTGCGAAAAATCGCCGGACATTTTGTGAGTCTTATCGTTTAATTGACCTTGATTTTGCAAACTTTGCAGCCGAATTTGAAGATCGCTCTGCTGATGCTGAAACTGCGCCACCTTGTCCAGAATTTGATTCTGATTCTGAAGACACTGCAACTTGGCTTGGAGGTCGCTCTGTTGACGTTCGAATTGGCTTAATTTTTCAGAGATTAAATCGAGACTCTGCTGATTCTGCAATTGTTGCTGAACCTGAAGAGAATCTGTTTTCTCGTTCTGATTCTCCAATGTATTCTGCAAATTTTCCGTCTGGCTTTTACTGTGAGTGAGTAAATTAGAGGCAGTATTATGACTTTTACGATGACTATGAATTATGTGATCAACTTGATCAGTCGGTTTGTTTGTAATCGACTCGCCAAAATCAGTTACGACAGTCAACACGGTTTTCGTGTCTAATTTTGCCTCGCTGAGAGCTGGATATTGATGACAAATATTCGGACTAGCTCTCTGCGATGAAGCAGTACTGGCTACCGATCCCAGATTTACTACGGATCCTGTAATAGGTTGCTCTTCAAAATCTTTCCTCGAAAGTTCCATGTGTTTCGTCAGATCGGCGCTAACGTGTCTCAGGTGTCGGCGTTGCTCCATTATAGTACTCTGACTAATATTAGGAATAGGTTGAAAGGCCGATTGAGACATTCTCGAGTCTTTTCGATCATCTAACGGATGAATCGACCTGATATCTCTTCTTTCCTCCGAAGGATTACGAGAACGAGGACTTGTCGTAAATATCGGACCTTGCATCATTCTTTCGTGTTCTTGTCGCTGACGTTGTTCTGCCCAGATCGCCAGCTCCTGTCTAGTCTTCTCGAAGTTTTGGCTAACGAACGAAGGACTTTTCTGTCCGGCGCGATCGACAGACGTTTCACGAATTGGTACAAACGGCATAGGCGACCTTCTTACATCCTCTATTCTTTTACCTTCCAGATTCATGGGCGATCTTCGGTGTTCTTCGAAATAATCCGAGCGTCTATTTTCTGAAGGAATGGCGTTTCTCTGATTCGGACTCACGTTACCCCATTCGACCTTTCTATCGGCCCCTATACTCTTTCTATTTTCTTGTCTCGTATCAAACGCCATCGGCGATACACGCAGACCCGCATCCAGTCTTCTTTGATCAGCTGGAAACATTTGATTAGTCTCGACTCTCTTCGCGTCTACTGCAGTAGTTTTTCTTCCCGACATAATCTCTTGATTACTGTCGCCGGGAAATGTAAAGGTTATCGTGTCATTACGTCTTGGAAAGCTGGTAGTCACATCGACCGATATAGATTTCCTATGCTCCGATCTTGACACGTATAAACCACATTCCGTAGCTATTGTACCATCGACAAGCTTCTCTCTGCCCGACTGATCACCGTTTGCATCTACATACAGACCGTCTTGTCTTGTCCTAGGATTTTGATTAATTGCAGTTAGATATCTTCTCTCCGACGTATCCGAGCCGATCGGCGCGTTCGTCATAATTATGGCGCCATCGCTACGATGAATCGAATCCTGTTGAGCAGTCTGCGTCAACTCATACTTCGCCTTTTGCAACGCCGGCACGTCAACGCTCGCGGATTTTCGATGTCCAGGATCGTGGGTGGTGATCTTGGAATTGCCACGAGGCGGCACCATTGGTTTCGGTCCTCGGCAAGGTCGTTCCGTCGTCTGGATAGCGATCCCGTGCGTCACATTTTGAGCAATCGGCTGAATAATCGGTTGTGTCTGATACTGGCCGATTTCTTGCGAGAATCTCTGCGGATTCGGCGACTGCTGACTGGGATATTGTTGAGCAGGATAAATGGAGCCGGTGTGCGGATTGTACGGCACGGCGTTCATCACCGTCTGCGGATATTGACTATAAGAATATTGCGGCTGCGTGCCGAATTGAGTATAACTCGGCGGTTGTGGTACGACTACACCCGAGTAATATGGCGGTTGCGGACTGGCGGACTGTGAAGGAATCTGTGAACCATGTTGAACTGTTACGTATTGGCCTTGCCCGGTGAACATGGGATTGGTCGCACCGCTCTGACTGTAGAGACTCGGATCGCGATAAGTGACGTCTCTCGTTACATAACCAGCTCTATCGGAATATTGCGTTTGAGGATAGATCTGCGATCTGACTTCAAATTGTCCCCGTATCTGCGAATATTGATTTTGTTCGTAATCGGAAGCGAACTGCGGATACGCTTGCACTGGTACCGTTTGAGTACTGGTTTGAGACACATGTTGAGGTCTGTCTGTATTACTTTTCTCCTGGTATTGCGGAGGTGGCAATTGACCAGTTAAAGGGTGTTTATCATCCGGTAATCCTACGGATTGCCTTCTTCCCGACGGATATTGTGCTATTGGATGAGCAAGTTGTTGCTGTTGTGAAGTCTGTTGCGGTTGCTGATCCTGAACTGGTCCTGAGGTATTCTGTGTTTTTTCTTGAGTAAATCTCTCGTAATCCATCGTTCGATTCTCGAAACCGTTTGAAAGATCCTGTTTCGTAGAATCGGCGAGCAGTTCAGCGCGACCGTTCTGGCAAGTCTGTTGATTGTCGCTCGTTTGTCCAGCTTGATTTTGTTCTTGAACGTTGTTCAGTCCACCTGACCCTGACTGCGACATATTGGTGGCCCCCACCGACGGTCGTCCGCCGATGTAGCCGAGGATTCGCCCTAATCCACACACTGTGACGATTTAGTGAACAACGCTGCCAAAAAAAAATTTAACGCTATCCTGAATATTGCTGCTGCGGATTGCGTTTCTACACTTCTTCTTCGTGTCAGATCAACTTGAGGTATGTAAACATTAATCTTGTATACGTGATTAATTTTTGATATCTCTGAAAATTTTTTCAAACAAATTTTGACTCTTCTTCCTTTTCTCCTTTTGAATTATTAATTAAAGAATTATTTAATTGCGGATTGTTTGTCTTGAAAAAGAGAAAATTGCCAATGAATGATTCTTTAAGAATTATATTTTTATTTATTTTGCTTCGCAAAATGATTATTAACTGTGTCATAACCAATAGTATTCGTTCAATATGTCGTTATTTGATTAATAGGGTAACAAAAAAATAATCGATAAGATTCGCCAGTGTGATGTTTCTTGCAGTTATCGATTTGCTTGCTGATAGCTTTCACGAAACAAGATTACAGTGGTGAAATTTCTTTTATTTATTTCTCCACGTTGCTCCGTAAACACTTGGTGCGATGTCGTTACATACGAGAGTTATCTTCTTTTCTTGAATCTCACATTGTCCGTTATAAAAGTACTTTTCAGAATGACAATCCGAAAAAATTCTTCCTTCCAAGCGACGATCTTTATTTCTTCTCAGTTTATATCGTATTGTTACGCTTTTGTTTATATATTTGAACAATATATATTTTTAATATTATTATAAACGTAGATTTTTGATTATTTCGACGTTAATTGAATACACTGTAACTACATATAAATTTTTCCAAACGTTATATCTGATGATAATCTCACTTTGATATTTTTATCCATATTCTCTGTACATTTTTTGATTGGGTTGTCACTTGAACTTTCTTGCAACAAACTTTTGTTTTTGATGATAATGACTTTGATCACGGTAAGTCGTTAACTTTTGACGAGGAAAATAGCCCGATCCTATCAACTTCACGAGAGCATTGCTTCGTTAATGTGTCCGCTGTCTTTGATAATAAAGTTTGCATGTCTTTCCATTTTCTGTATATTTTTGTGCGAACTTTGCATCCAATTCAACTTATCTGAAAGAACACAATTTTAAAATGCATCGAATGTCTTTCGATGCATCCGCATCGTGGATTTTTGCCCTCAATAATCAGAATAGTTTGCTTGTTTGAAATGTATTATGTTTTCAATATTTTTACTGTCACGTAAAAAGGAGAGTAATCATTTCGCATATTCCAGTTAGGAAACTCAATAAAAATTATTCTAATTAATTATTAATTATTATTTATTCCTTATTATAATAAATATATTATTAGTTAATTTTCTGTGTATAAACGCTTATAATAATAAATTCATTAATAAATTATTATTATTATCAATGTAACTAATAAAATACACAAACTTATTTATTCATACAAGTTTTTTATTTATTTATAAAAAAGAAAAAGATAGATTCATGTAAATTTTAATATTTTTAATTTTACTATTGTTAAGTTATTGTCGATGTTATCAAATATTTTGACTTAAAATCTAAACTTAAACATTTAACGATAATTCGAGGAAATAATTCTCGCGACAAGAGAAAAGTATTCTACTCTACAATATACTTTACTTCCGAAAAAATAGGACAAATTGTTTCCCCGATTTCCCAAGTGTCTCATGATTATCGTATTTTCTACGAACAAAGTCATCTTTTACTGCCAGAAAGTTAATTCTCAGGAAATAGCGGCGATGAAAAGTTCTCATCAGTTTGCACGCACAGCTAACCGATGAAATATTAGTAACAGTAAAGTACTGAAAATTCCCTTCCTCTCATCAGCTTATGTAGAATAATCAAGTACATTGTATAACTTGTGTTTTACATTTAACTCTGGGATTGCTTTCTAAAAGTGAAATAAATGATGAAGTAACTCTTTTGCTTATATCTCGTATCTCTGTACTTTGAAATATTTAATCGAATATTAAAGAAGAATTTTAACAATTTAGCGCTTAACTCTTTTTACTTTAACACAATATGTATACAAAAAAATATATAAAACTATTTTTTATTATCAATATTTCTATACTTCAATATATATTTAATATACAGAATTATATATTTTTTCGATTACATGTATATATATTTTTTTCATTTAGTTATATATATATATATATATATATATTAAATTTTTCTAGCTTTAATATGTTTCTTTAAAATATGTCTGATTTTTTTATAAATAATATAGTTTAATAATATTTAAAATGTTACGTCACATGCAGTATTTTTCTGCAATAAAAAGTAAAGTAACGATTACAATTTTCTTAATATACTTCATGTATATGCAACGATAAATTTCCGCTTGTGATGGCTAAAAACATTATTCACATATAATCGCCCTTATGCAATAAAATTTTCCTTAACTGCGTTACTCTGATTAAAGATTGCATATTTAAAATTTCATTTGTATTACACGCTTCTACTACGTTTTTTTCTACATTGTATCAGCAAACATAAAATATTGTTAGTTTATGTCTAAGTAAAAAGAAACGTAGAGAGCGAGTTTATAAAACGAGAAAATAGTAGTAAGAAGCAACATATTGTATAATTTGTTACATGTGTGTATATGTGAAATTATTATCCCTATTTCTTTCTGTCATATATATACTACACTCTACAGCTTTTCCTTCTCCAAATGTATGATGCACCCAGTACGTGCATCAGTGCATCTTCATACTTTTGCGTGCATTCACCACCTTACTAGTACATCGAAAGTCTAAGCGTTTGCAAGGAAGACATCGTAATGCATCCACATCTCTGTGTTCATATTCTCTCGAAATGCATTCGTACTTGCTTATAAGTCCTTAATATTCTTGTCATAATGCATAGAGCAATATATAGAGCTGTATATACGCGCTTTTATATATATTTGTTCACAGAACTAATATGAATATATATATATATATATATATATATATATATATCACAATATATATATATATATATATAAAGATGTCTCTTTCACTGTTTTGAAGATATCCTCATTTAAAAGGTATCAATTATGTTTTATATTTTATTTTTGATACGCATATAAATATTTATTCAAAAATTAAGATTTTAAATCGCCCTGTATAATCTGTAATTAGAAACTTTGAGTGGAAGAATAAGGCATATCTAATATCAAATGCACGCGCTTTATAGCGTCAAACCTTCTGGAGAGCTTCGTTATCTCGAATTATTCACCGTCGATAGCAATCATAGATCTATTCTCCGACTACGAACCGAATTGCAGCATCAAATTCACATTATCAGAGAAAGCAATTCTCGTAAAGCATGTTTCGCATAAAGCATACATACGTAAGACTTTAAACAATTTATCGATGTTGGTATTTGACATACTGATTTATGCAAACTAAGACGATAATTTTCTATCACATATCAGATATCATAATATATTTATGACATATAATTTAAAAATTACTTAATTTTAATTACTATATTTTATTGCAGTTTTAATACTTTTTTATCTGTTTATTCGCTGTCATTTTTTATTTCGTTCACGCATAACACGTGAAATATCAATTTAATTTAAACTCGAAAATACGAAAATAATTAATTACTAAACAAACAAAATTTATTAATATTCGTGAGATCTCATAGATAAATGCGAGTGCAACTCTATATACACACATTATGAAATATTTGAAATATTTGAGTTGAAAACTTTTTATACGTGCTTGTTATGCATGGCTATTCCTGATACTCGTATACCATATATTTTCCTCGCTTGAATATAATTTGTAAATAATTCAGATCATACTCCGCGCCCATCCAAAAAGGTTTCCATGATTCCCCGCGCGTAACAAAAGTTTGGAAATATGTACAAGCGAGCTGCACAGCGGAGATCCTTTATCTGGAAGGTATGGTTGACGCTGCATAGATCACATTTACCGGATTCAGATCAACAACTAAGATTAATGGACAAAGTCTAAAACTAACTTTATATCCAAATCAAATTGCCAAATCGGGTCGACGATTAGGAAACGACCGACCAAATTTGCAACTTCTGGTCTACAAACTATCTAATAGGATCTTTAGATTCGATTAAAAAAAAAATTGGTGCGAAGAACTCAAATTATTAGAATTCATTATATAGTATAAAACTCAAATTTAAAAGATAGATATTCGATATAAATAATTATATATTTAAATGTACATACTAGAGTAATTAGATATTAAATTTTTAAACGTACATGTTATAGGTTTTTAATTAATTATTTTCATCTAATGTTATAGATAAAAACATATCATTATCAATTAAATCATATATATATTTTTACATTTTAGTAAACTATATTTAGTAAACTATATTTACGATTTCTGTTATTAAATTTGAATATGTTCTCTAACTTCGTTAAAAATAAGAGCAATAATCTACTAGAAAAATGCAAATTTCGACATAACGAATAGAAATCAAATGAGTGAAACACTGTCAATAGTTAAGAAACTTTGCACCTTGCAAAACTTTTAAAATTTGCGCTTAATATTTTCAATCATGGACGAATCTTCTCTCGCGAATATATTTTCCATTCACCCGCATTTGATTCATTTCAAGCTTACATGGGTCTCTCTATATAACCTGAGATCCAAATATATATAAAAGTTCGCATCCTAATATAAAATATCGACCGCAATCCCGGTTTTTTCTAGCAGGCTTCATTTCGCCCAAGTTAATTGAATCCTCGAAGCGATGCAATTGACGGGCGACCAAATTTCACCAATTATCGTATCGAGCGCCGGAGAGAGTCAATTTCAGATATACGATATAAAAATCTCTTATATGCAGACGCAGCGGTTCGGCTATTCGGTGATGTTAATTTCCGTGCGCGAGTCGTATTAAAAAAAGAAAAATATCCAAGACGGCACCACATGTTACGTGCCAATTTGACATACGTGAGCTAGAGCCAAAATCTCTCTCCATCTTCCGATCTCCGACTACATCCTCGACCCGGTCGCGAAAAGAGGTATTGAGGGAACGAGCGGATAGGTAATATCCGTGCATCATCTCGTGCAAACGTGTGCAAGGCACGCTCGGAGGCGAAACGGCGGGCAAGATAGGTCGTCGAATAATCTAGAGTATGGAATGAAAATTCCCGAGGTTTCCCGAGACCACCTGAAATGCGGGGATTACGGATAGTAATGATGAGACGCCGTTCCTGAA